AAATATAAAAATTCAATTTTATTGTAAAATTTATTTATAAAAAAGTGCAATAAATTGCGGAAATCTAATTATAAATTGAAGAATTTTTATAAACTTCGCTCACTCGATCGGTGTAAAATTCATTTTATATTCATTTTACTCGCCAGTGGTGAATATCAATCGTTAGTGTTGTACTCGTTGATTTATGGAATTTCTGCAAATGACAGTGGAAATTCATCCAAGTAAAAAATTAGAATTCTTTATTTAAATGGTGCTGGCGGAAAATTATTTAAAAAAAAAATTGTGAAAATTGTGAAAAAAATTTAATAAAAATAAATGAAAAATTCTTTTAAAATATTGTATTGTGCATGTGTAAATAATTTTCGTTAATAAATTGTAGTGCAAAGGTTGCGTTTTTACATAATTATTGTTGTAAATAAATAATAAACACACACACACGCATATGCTCCTATAAAAAGTAACATGCGCCAATGCAACACATATTTTGCAAATCAAATTAAAATAAAAGCAGAAAAAAAATAATAAAAATAAAGAATGTGGATATATAAAAACGACAAGCAAAGCAAAGATATAAAAAAAAATATAAAATAGAATTATTTCAGGAATAAATTTTATACAATATATTTTGTACTCTATTGAGGTAATTTTTATTTTTAAAGTAAATTTTTAAATTTTTGTGTGGAATGCGTTTGAAGTTGTGGGAGCAAACGCGGGGTGACAAGTGAAAGATAACCCTTACATGTATTGATATTCATTTATTTACAAATTTAAATGCCATGTGCTACAAAACAATATCAATAAGTTTTACTTGGAATATGATATATCTTAAAGAATTTCTTATTTTAAATATTTGTCTAAAATTAATGTTAAAAAAAATTTATAAAATGCAATTTGCTAAAGAAAATACACATTTCTTCTATTTACAATTAATAGTTTTTTTTTCTTTTCCAATATGTGCTGCAGTTGAAAAGTTATTTGTATTTACATATTTTCACTGTGTTCACTTGATCCCGCCTTCTCCCACAACGCACCGCTTATTCCATCCACTACTACAAAAACAAATCGGATTAAATTTTTTTTCATTTGTTTTAATTTGTTGTTGCTCACATAGTTTTTTTTTGTTTTTCTGTTTTTTTTTTGATTGCTCCATTACTGTGTATTCTCTTTGTGTGCTTTGAAAAATTTTGAAATGAATGAAAGAAATTGAAAAAAGCATTTCCGTTATTAATTAAAAATATTTTTTTTTCTTGGATAAGTTAAGGTCAGATTATCTTCTCTTCGAAAAATAAGCCTAATTAATAAACCACAATTTCCTGGTGTGGAAAAGAGTTGGAAAATGGAAGTAAACAAGAATTATAAATTGTTTATGAAATTTTAATTGCATTCCGGGAATTTTTAAATATACTCTAACGTTCACTAATAATGCCATTTAGAATATTATAAAAATGATTCAATTTTAGAATATTTATTTCTTAATTCAATTAAAGTACGAATTCGTTTAGAGTTTATAGACCGACCGTCATTGACTAAGAGTTGAATTCCTCTTAGATCGAAAACTATTCGTACTCTACAAAATTCTTCAATTATGTTTTTTTTTTGTTCTATGTCTAGTGATGGGGTGATGGATGCGAATTCGTTTAGAATAGATAGACCGGCAATGACTAAAAGTTGAATTCCTCCAAAATCGAAAACTTCATTCTCTACAAAAGTCTCCAATTATATTTTTTTTGTTCTATGTGTTGTGATTCATATAGGTACGAATTCGTTTAAGGTAGATAGACCGACCCTCATTCAGTAAGAGTAGAATTCCTCTTATATGGAAAACTATTCGTACTCTACAAAAGTCTCCAATTATTTTTTTTTTTTTTTTGTTCTAAGTGTTGTGATCCGTATAGGTGCAAATTCGTTTAGAGTATATAGATCGGTAATCACTAAAAGTTGAATTCCTCCAAAATCGAAAACTTCATTCTCTATTCATTCTACTCATTCTCTACAAAAGTTTACAATTAATTTTTTTTTTTGTTCTATGTGTCGTGATTCGTATAGATACACAACTATTAACACACTGTGATCCCTAAAGAAACACTATGTGTTATGTATTTTTAAGAATATACGTACATAGATGTCTGAAAGTATTAAAATTCTACTAAGACCCAACGATTGCAACTCACTAGAATATATTGATATTAACGTACATATACAATCCTATACTACAATTAGAACAAGGTTTTTTGCTAATCAGACAGAGAGCTGCAATAATACAAAAGGAATAGACCTTAAGCACGAGCGAGCTCAATGACAAGACAACTCTGTTAACTATGTCTTAAACTGGTGTTGCAAGGGATCTGCTGGTGTATACGTAGCATATTAGTGGTTTTCTTTAGTATATACTAAAGTGTGTTTAAAATGTTGTTTATATGTATTTATAAACATCGTATATATCATAATAAACCTCGTATGTATGTTGAGATTATAATAATATTATTTACTAACATATGACT